ACAAAACTTACCATTTTAATCACTTTAAATTTTATTATTATTTTTTTGAGACAGGATGTTGCTATGTAGTTTAGGCTAGCCTTGAACTCACTATGTGGCCGAGGCTGGTCTCAATATTGCAGCGATCCTCCTGCCTCAGCCTCTCAAGTGCTGGAATTAAAAGCATGCATCACCATGCCCATCCATTTTAACCATAGTAAACACATTCATAATGCTGGTACAGCCATCACCCACCTCCTTACATAACTGAAAATGTTCCCATTAAATACTAACACCCCATTCCTCTGTCCTCTGTTGCCAGCCCCTGGCAACTACCACTTGACCTTCTGTCTCTTTGTGATGACCATGAGTACCTCATAAGGATGGAGGGCTTTCTAATTTTGTGGGCGTGTGTGTGGCAATTTTGGGGATGGAACTCAACCCATAGTGCATGCTAGGCAAGTGCCCCCCCACTGAGCTATACCATAGCCAAGCCTGGGTGTCATTTGAGAAAGACTTGGAAACGGACACACCATGCTTCTGCTTTTGTCTCTTTGGGTGGAACTTAATCACATGACCATGCCTAGCTAAGAAATTAGCCTTTTTGCTGGGCAGCCTCTAGGAGAGATGTGCTTATAAAGCTAGCAAAGAATATGAAAAATAATTCAACTTCACTCAGATACTGGGGCTCTTGAATGTGAATGCTCTGAAAAAAATCTGTTAGGTAAAGAAAGAAAACACTCTGGGTGGCTGAGGCAGGAGGATCACAAGTTCAAGTCCAGCCTGGGCAACTTAGTGGTTTAGTGAGATCCTGTCTCAAAATGAAAAATTAAAAAAGGGCTGGAGATATTGTTCAGGGTAAAGGTCTTGGATTCAATTATCCAGGACCACAAAAAAGAAAGAAAGAAAGAAAGAAAGAAAGAAAGAAAGAAAGAAAGAAAGAAAGAAAGAAAGAGGAAATGAGCTATAAATTGGAGTCTTAGTTTTAATTTTTGCTATCAATTTTTTGCTTCTCTATAGCTAAGGCTTTCAACTCTAAATGCAAAGCATTTTAACAAAGGTTTCTCTTTTGCTCTTCTTTTCTTATATCTTACATATATATATGTTATTTGCAGCCAAAGGCATTTCTTAGTGATATAGATTCTTTGATCTTCTTTCCTAGTGTTGCAAAACTCACTGCAAGGAAAGTCTTCATGGCCAGTCCCATGTCTGAGTTACCTGTCTCTCTTAACGCTTTGCCACTGACTTGTTCTTCCACCAGGTCACAGTCCTTTTATTTTTATTAAATCCAATGGTTGTTGTTCATATTTTCCTTGAGCTTCAATTTTTTCTTTTCTTTTCTTTTTTCTTTCTTTCTTTCTTTCTTTCTTTCTTTCTTTCTTTCTTTCTTTCCTTCTTTCTTTCTTTCTTTCTCTTTCTTCTTTCCTTCCCTTCTCCTCTTCCTTCTCTTCCTCTTCTTTTTTTGAGACACAGGTTAGACATGTAGTTTAGGCTGGTGTTGAGCTTGCAGCAATTCTCCTGCCTCAGCCTCCTGAGTGCCGGGAAAACAGGTATGTACCACCACACTCATCTTCAACTTTCTTACTGAGACTGTTTTCTCCTTTGGTTCCTAGGACCCTGTATTTCATAGTTTACCTTTTATCCTATGACCTCTACTTCCATATTGGGACCCTCGTAATTCTAGGTATTTTGTTCCTTGAAGCTTCAGTCAGTTTAGGGCTCACTGTGCCCCCACCCCTAGTCCTCCATCCCCACTACTCCCATCACTGCTATCACCACCACCATCACCACTTCCAGTTTACAAACATGCTCTCCAGCTGTCCAACCTTCATAACAGCTGTACAAGGTAAATAATATTATTATTCCCATTTTCCAGATAAGAACACTGGGACTTAATGGGATTATGCGTTTTGCAAATTATGAGCAAAAAGCTGGCAGATGTTGGGGATGGGATTTGGAGCTCGTCTGTCAAAATCTGGGCTCCTAATACACCCTCCTTCCTCTTTCCTTCGAGGCCACGGGATTCACCCCTCATCTCTCCTCTTCTGATAACAGTGGGCCACTACCTCACTACCATAGGCTCAGCTTCATACCATCCAATAGCTCTCAACAGCTCTGCCTCCCCGCCCCTGGCCCCCAGCATGCCTGCCTGTCCCACCTTCAGCTAGTGCGGTGGCACTTTACCTCAGCCTCCCTCTGTCTCTGCCCTGCTCACATAGTAACAATGGCTCCCTGGTACTCCAGGATCATGTCTGCTCTCTGGGCCTCCAGCATCACCTGCCTGCTGTATTCTGAAGCCAGGGATGGTGAGTGTTATCGGTGTTCACTAATGCCCATTCCCCTACGTCCTGGGCACAGGGGAGGTCTCCCTCCTAATTTCTTTGCAATTAGGCCATTAGTATAGTTCTGGCTAATGAAACAGATGTGGAAGTGACGTGTGCTGCTTTTACCCGGAGGCAGGGCCAAGGCCTGTAGGAGTTTCCAACCGCTCTCAACTGTTGCTGGGAAGGACAGCCATGCTCCAGATGGGACAGCCTCCATGGCCTGAGTCCCGAGTGACTCTGTGGAACAGACCACTTTTTCTTCTTCGCACATCGACTTGCCATGAGCTTTATGTGGACGTGAGATTTGTTTGCTAAGCCCCTAAATGCTGAGATGCTTTGTTCCTGGTGTGGGGGTCAGGGTGGGCTGGGTTGTGCTGACTTAGCAGCAACTCCAGCGTCTCAGCAGCTTACAACACATCATAGAGAGTTATTCTCGCTCCTGCTGGATGCTCACACAGGTCAGCAGAAGGAAGCTCTTTTCATGCCCCTCACTCACGGACGAGTGAGTGGACAGTTGGTTTTTACGTGTATCTGCGACCCATCGCCTCCAAGGGGACAGAGGACATGGTGACTCATGCTCTGACACTTAAAGCTCTCACTATGCTGGGACACGAGGAATCCTGCTAACATTTCCTTGACCAAATCAAGTCACATGCCCACACTTGACTTGGGGGCCAGAAAATAGAATTTTGTCACCTACCAGAAAAGCAGAGGACAGGAAAAACTCGATGACATCCTGAGTAACAGACCACATGGGCTTGTCCCTTCCATGCCCCCTCTCATCCTACTTCTGTTTCCCTTTCTTTTAACTACGGCTCTGGGCTCATCCTTCCATAAAGGCTCCCTTGGTATTTCTAGCACATTCTCTTCCTGCTTCTAAACTCCTAGGGCCTTGAGGATGGTCAAAATTCAACTGGTTATTCATTGGTTCATGTATAAGTAATAAGACCAGTTTTGCTTTTACAAACACATCCAAATGTATTTGCATATGCATATATTTACATATCTAACAATCTACCTTATCTCCTTAAAACTATCATCTGGATGGCTGTTTGTTTATTCCAGTGATGGGTTTGCTGCTCCACAATGTTTGTGGAATTGCCCTGGGTTTGTAGCACACCCATTTCCTTATCTGTAGGGAGGATGTAACGACAATGCCTTTTTAAAACATGCGTGAGAACTAACTGGGTTAGCACACAAAGTGCTGAGAACAGCAGCTGGCCCACAATAAGCACTCACTTTATTTCAGCTACTATTATCATTCTTCCAAAGACCTCTGTATATAGCAGTCTTTAACTTCTTTTTTTAAAAGATTAAGATAAAAAGGGACATAACAAAAACAGGTCAGAACAGAACAATTTAAGCAACATAGTGTTTCACCACAAGACAATCCGTGCAGTCTTTAATTTCTAAGGGGAGATTCGATGCTTTGCTAATGGTTCAAAAGTCACTTAGATCTGTAGCAGGCACTGCCAGTGCCCATGTGCCCTGTGGTCCCTTGAAGACAGCCTCCTATAGGTCTCTGACAGAAGTTGTTTGAGCTGGTTGTGGTGGTGCAAATCTGTAATCCCAGTACCCTGGGAGACTGAGGCAAGGAAGATCAGAAATTCCAGTCCAGACTGGGCCACTTAGTGACTTAGTGAGACACAGTCTCAAAAAATTAAAAAGGGTTGTAGATGTAGCTCAGTGTGAAGGCCCTGGGTTAATGCCCAGTATCATTAAAAAGAAGTGTTTGGCTTGGGGAGAGATGAATAAATAGCTAACGCCCCTGAGAGGGCTAGGGAATGGACATGGTTAGAACCAACTCTCAACCAGCGTGGTTGATTTGTTTCATCATGACTCAGTGGGACTGTCCTGAGATATATGATACACAGTCTCCCAGAGGAGCCCAGACAGGATTGGCCATCACTGCCTACAACAATAATCTGGTCATTAACTCACTCTTATTTTTCCCCCTTTTCTGATGTCAGGTTCTCCATTGCATTTTTAGGGATCACTTCCCAAACAGATTACCTGTACTCTGGGAAATAATATTTCAGGAGCAGGGCAAACCAAAGACAAAGCTGAATGCAATTCAATTCCTATTTTCATATGGTCTCTCATTGCCTCTGGAATGATTCTAACGTGGAGTTCTGTGAGGATTTGAGCCCTGGCTGCGTCATTGAAATATGTCCATGGCTGTGTAAGGGGTCCCTGATGAGAGGGCTTCTCTGGATGTATCAGTGAGGAGATCCTATGGCCTGCCCTGTTGGCAAATTTTCTCCTGAAGGCTCTCACAGGCTCAGTGGGGGGACACTGTTGTGGCGTGGTGGAGTTTGGTGCATGATGAATAGCCCAGCATGAGAGGCATCCTGCTCCGCTGTGGTGGACAGTGGATACACGTTCCTCAAGTGTCAACATCAACTTCCTCCCCATTTTCAGAAAACCTGGAGGATGATGAGCATCAGGAAATATTCAGGATGGTTAGTCTGGTGTTTATATTTTGCAATCTAAAAGGAAGATACCACAGTTGGGGTCAGGAATGTCCTCCAAAGTCCGTGTATCAAAGGCTTAGTTCCTACCTGGTGCTATTGGGAGGTAGCAGCACCTTTAAGAGCGGGGAGGGGCCTCATGGGAGATCTGTGGGTTACTGAGGTGTAACTTTGAGGGGGATGGTGGGATTCCACTCTCTTCCTCTCTCTCTTTTCATTTTGCCAGGAGAGTAGTGACCACACCATGATGCTCTCCTGCCGGGATGTGTTGCCTGCCCAGGCCTAAAAGCAGTGTGTCCACCTGATCTTGGACTGCAGCCTCCAAAACCATGGGTGAAAATAAACCTTTCCTCTTTATAAGCTGATTATCTTGGGTATTTTTTATAATGACACAAAGCTGACTAATATAGACAATATTAACCAATTTGCATGTGCGTATTAGTGTCAGAAAGGAATTTCCCATCAGGGATAGATAGATAGATAGATAGATAGATAGATAGATAGATAGATATCCCTGAACAATAGAGAGGAGAATGCACAGTTTCAAAGAGGCTTTGCAACCCTATTCTTCACCAAGCCCCACCCGTCCCATCCCATCTGCAAGTGCACCCAGGAAGGTGGGCTTTCTTCTGCATTGTTTTTTCTCTCTCCTTTTCTCTCTCCTTTGTGCTGGGGATTATACTTAGGGCCTGCACCATGAGCTACATCCCCCAACTTATTTTTTATTTTGAAACAGAATTTGGCTAAGTCATTTGCTGAGGCTGGGCTCAAACTCATGACCCTTTTGTCTTGGCCTCCCAGAGTGCTGGGATTATAGGAGTGAGTGTGCCACCACGCCTGGCTTCCTGTGTTGTTTGCTAAAGACAATGCTGGTTTGCAGTTTATTTAGGATCCTATGAGTCTTAAAAACACACAGTCCTAGTGAAGAGAACATTTGCAATTACAGAGAGAGAGGAGAGAGGAGAGAAGGGAGGAGGAGAGGGGAGAAGAGAGAGGGGAGAGAGACAGAGACAGAGAGCGCAAGCACACACTCATAGACGGTTTTGCAGATTTCTGGAATGTCAGATGGCAGTGGGAATATCTGCCTCACTTGCAAGGATTCACCTGGAGTGGTGGATGCAAAAGCACTTTGCCCTGCTCCTGCTCCTGCTCACAGCACACACTCAGAATTTTGTAGATGGTGTTAAGTCCTTTTTAATATGTTGGTCAACCTTCTCTGGTGACATTCTGGGGTTTCTTTTATTTTTCGCTTTTTTGCCAGATAAAAGCTTATTCTGAGGCTGATTATCCTGAGAGTCACCATGAATTAAGCCGAGTTCTTTGAAGTGCATCACGCCCATTCCCCTGGGCTCTGTGGCACCCAGAGACAGCATTGTATCTGTGACCTCACTGGCAACGGCTTGGTACGAGCCTGGCATGAAGCAGTGCACCTCAAAGGGAACCATCCTCACCAGACTCCAGGCAGTCAGACAGTACTCCCCCAGGGGGCCCCTGCAAACAGGAATGAAGGGAGCCCGAATTTAGCCAGTTCCTACCATCAGCAAGGAAACTGGCTGAGAATGCGGAACACTGAGCTGAACCCAGCAACGGGCCTCTGAGTCAGCCCATCACTGCAGGAAGTCTGCTGGCCTTTGCAAGCAGTTCCAGGATGGTTATGTTTTGGGGTCAGAAAATCCAGTGCAACCCTTTCTCCCTGGCTGCATGTGAACTTCAGGGAGCAAAACGTGGGCTGCTGCCGGAGCCAGCAGAAAATCCCGTCTGCGCACTGCAAAGGCAGCTGCCTGCACTTCGTGTTATTAGGTTGATTCAAACAGTCAGCAAGCGGGGGCTCAGTGGGAGAGTATCTATCTAGCCGGCGCGAGCCTTTCTGCTTGGCCCTCAGTACCCCACCACCCCAAATCAGAAACTAGCTTCCGAATGGTAACCCTGAGAAAGGCAGGCAGTTTCTGTTTGGCAGAGCAGTGTGGCTTCCTCAGCCGGGGGTGGGGGGATCTTCCTTCTTCACTCTTTTCTCCTTCCGAAACGTCCTGCCTTTTTCAATCTCACTATCAGATCCAGCACATTTTGCCTGTGGGAATATGGGGCCTTTTGGCACCCTGGGTCACCAGGTGACAAGAGAGGTGCATGAGGGCCCCCTAAACAGAGTGCCTTTGGGTTTATAGGAAGCTGCTTTGTCTCTGGAGCCTAGGTGCTTCTCCTTCCCTCCTTCCTGAGCTCTCCTTTCTCCAGTAGTCACCGAACAAGCAAGAAGAGGCCAAAATGCCTGAAACTAACCTTAGCAGGCAGAGCCGGTAGTCTCCATCCAAGGACACAGACACAGCCGAAGGAAGGGCTCAGAGAAAAATGAATACTGTTTCCCTGTGACGAAATCAAGTTAGCATTGGCCACATTAGTGCCCATTTAGAGTGTGGAAGGGGCTGTGACCCGGTCAAGGCTGGGGGGAGGGCTCGGTGGGGAGGCCATGGCCCCTCCCCTCCCATAGCCCTTAGCTCTTAGCATTCCTTGGCTTCCTTTCCGCCCTGGACCAGTGGTCCCCCTAGCCAGCGCCGTCTGGCCCGATTTGTTGGAGGCAGCCTCCTCCCTGGGCCCTGTCCCTGTGCCAAGAAATACAAATCCAGGAGGAAGATGGATAAGGAGGGGCACTGGAGAGGAGGGGAGGCCAGGCAGGGAGGGAGGGGGAGAGGGAGGAGGGGCGAGGGGGAGGGGGCCTTTCGGAGCCACATTTGCACATCTGCGTGGAGCGTGCTGCTTCCAGGTTGCCAGCAATCACGAGGCACACTTGCTCCTGCAGATTCATTAACGAGGCCAGAGGGAATGACAATTGGCTTGTCCACTGTGTTAAGTGGACAGGGAGGAAGCAAGGAAAGTCAGGAAAGGGAGAGCAGGGTTCGCATTTGGGCTCAAATCCTTTGTTGTTCCTCTGAACCCTAAAGGACACCACACACACACACACACACACACACACACACACACACGCACACACACGCACACACCGCACACACACGCACACACTCCTGCCTTAGCCAGCACTGGGCGGTGGTGCTGTGTTGTTGATTCATGGACTCCCCTGCACCTTGCCTTTTTCCTTGTAGCTGATACTGAGCCATTTGCTGTGCCCATTTCTCCCCTTTGAAAAATTTTGAATCATGGTTTCACTAGGTTGCTGTGTTGCCCCAGTTGGGCTCAAACTTGCAATTTTATCACCTCAGCCTCCCTAGTGCTGGGACCACAGGCTGCCAGTGGCTCCACACCTGGCCCCAAGACACGGTTTTAAAGCACAAGGGGCAGCTTTCCTGTGGTTCTGCTGGCCCAGGCCTGTGATGTGCGCCCGCCTCTCCATTCAAGAGGAGAGAACAATGAGGAGTCCCCGACTGGGGAAGAGGCAAGAGCCTCCGTGGGGTGGCGTCATCTTTCCTTCTCCAGTTCTGCTCTCTTCTGGGCCTGAATCTTTCTTGGCTCTGCCCTTCCAGCTCTGGGCAGCCATTGTGCCTGCGGTGCTGACAAACAGGGCCTCAGGTCTGCAGCAGGCCTGGTGGCCCACGGTAGCCCTGAGATGGTCATGATCCCAGGTACCCTTGTCCTGCAACCTGCTATCCTCCCTTCTGGCCTCCGACGTGGCTTGAATTCACAGCCAATGCACCTGTGTGTTGGGCAGACAGTGAAAACAGTCCAGCGCCAAGAGGCTGGGAGCCCGGAATCCAGCCAGGGCCCTGGCAGCCGCATCCCAGGAACAGGAAGGAAAGAGTATCCAGTCGGGAATTATGTAGGGCCCACCTGTCTTTCCCTACACACCAATGGAGGGCAGGCAAGGGCAAGGGCAAGGCCAAAACAAGAAGGGGAAGTGGGGATCAGTCTGGTCTGCAACTTGTCAAGGGAGCAGGAGTCCTGGCGAGAGGTTACTCTGGAAAGCTGGATGACATTATCAACCACACTGGGGTTTGGGGATTATCTGTGGATTTCATTTATCTGTGTTTTCCCCCTTTTTTGTTGTAGGTAATTAAGAGTCGATTGCTGGTAATTAAGAGTTGTTGAGAGAGGCAGCAGGACCCAGAAAGGAGAGTCACACAGTTTGACTTCCTTTGGACACACTTTTTTATGACCTTCCCTCCTCTGTGTGCCTCCTGCAGGGCCCCCTGAGCAAGTGGCAGCTTGTCAACGGGGTTATTGATGGGTAAGCTCCGCTCTGCCCATGTCCTTGCCTGTTATTTCTAAGCTGGGAGCCAAGCTTGAGGTAGTGGGTTTGAATTCTGCTCACTTGATACTCAGGTGCTAAGTTGGAGCCTGCTTTATTTCTCCCAAACTTCGGGCTGCACTGGCCTCTGAGCCTGTAACTGCTGATGGTGGACAACAAGAATGTACCAGGTCAAGGTAACTGCCATTATTGGTTGAAATCATGGGCACTCCTAGCAACACAGTGTCTCAGGATTTGCTCTCGTTCATTTTTCTCGGGTGTGAGCTGCTGTCTTGCGAATGGGACTTGGGGAGGGGGCAGTTTCTGTGGTGCCTGGCATTGAGTGAGGGACATGTGTCCACATGTTGCTGTCTGATTCCAGGCCTCACCTGCTGCGCTTGCTGATTTGGATTTGAATGCGGACCCCCCCCAATACTCGTGGGGGGTCAGGTCTCCCACCTACACAGGCCCTGAATGCATGGCCCAGGTGGGGTCTATGGTAGGTCCTTCTGGATGCCATGGAGATGTGGTACCCCTAGCTGCTCTCTCGGCTGTGCTGGGGTGCACAGGATCCGGGCTACCTTGCTACCACTGCTGAGGGCTGTTGTGTCACCTTGACCACCTTACCTCCACAGCTGCATGCTCTCTGTGGAGTGTCCCTGCGGGGCATGTGGGTCTCTCCTGCCTGCTGCTGTGAAATGAGGCTCTGTCCCTTCCACTCTCCCTGCTGGAAACTTCTCAGGCTTCCCTGAGAGTGTGGCTCCAAACTTTCATGTGCTGGCAAATTGGTCCCCAGTGTAATTGTCTTAAGGCTCTTAGAGGATGGTGAGATCACTAGGTAATACCTTGGGAGAGCCCAGGTTAGTTTCTGGGAGAGCAGGTTGCTATAAAAGGGAGTCTGCTCTGTGCCCTGTCTTGCTTCCTCCCTGGCACACGTGCCCGTCTGCACACAGTGGCTTCCTCTCTGCTAGTCTGCTGTGTTGAGAAGTAGCCAGGGGTCCTTCACAAATGTCAGCGCCTTGATGTTTAGACTTTCCAACCACCAGAATCATGAGACAAACCTCTTTTCCTTACACATACCCAGTCTCGGGTATTCTGTTTTAGTAGCAGAAAATGGCCCAAGACATTGTGCCTCTCCTGACCTGGTACTATAAGAGCCTCGGGCCTGTCCCAGGGCTCCAGTCAGCATGAAACCAAACAACCCTTCAAACAGGCAGGAGCTTTGTTTTCTTTCATTGTGGCAGGAAAACTCC